TCAACAGAGAGGCAGTTCCTTGGTCGGATAAATGTATATCAGAATTGTGTTATACTGAAAATGGAATGAGCTGCAATTAAGGCATTTAAACTTAAGATTACATTTATAAAAAAATACAATTTACTCAAAATGGAGGTTTTGGGAGGGAGGTTGTGCGGGGCTAGTACGTCTTCATGCTTTTATTGAAATTAAAATACATCATATTCAAATATATTTATTTAAAATGAATTGAAAAAAAAAAGTTTTTCCAGAAAAATTAACAAAATGTTTCCTCAATTTTCAATTACTGTTGACTATGTGCTGAAAGGTACATGTAAATTATTGAAGCTAAGAAAATATAAGTAACTTATGCATTTAGATGTATTTTTGTTATCAAAATAATATGATAGTTGAAAAAGGATATGAAAAAAAATCTACGTTGCAATTACAAAACTTTTTAAAAATCTCTATATCGCATGGCAAAATAATGCAGGAAATTAAGTCGGGAGAGGGGGTTGTCTGTGGGGAGAGGTGTGGTACATAAATAAATGGGTGAGAGTTGATATTATAGCGATAAGATTAAGTAAAAAAAAAGAAATATTCGTTTTTTTTTCAGAAAAATTATTTTTCACAAAAGCTGAGAGAAATGTACTTTTCAGTGTTCCTTACATTAATGTTCTAAATGTCATAGTGCAGAAAGGTCAAATCTGTAGAAAGCCGAATAAAAAGTAAATATTTTATAGTAACTAGCCCATAAAGGTATACTTTATGCGCTAGTTAAACGAAAGATGTTTCTTTGGAATATATTAATTCAAGCCTTAGCATGTTCACACAAAGACTTTCTGTCGCATGCGTGGCGCAGTGGTTAAAGCGTCTGCTCAAAAGTCGCGAAGTAAGGAGTAAATCCTTACGTCGCGGGTTTGAATCCCACTATGGGACGTGGAGACCGGTCAAGCCGAGATCCCCTGTCGCCAGTATTTGCTGTCACAAAAAAGATCCCTCCCTGCTCAAAGGCCCTGAGTGCCGAGCATAGGACAGAAGTTGCAGCTCTGCACCAGTAAGTGGTGTGTGGCAACGCACTTTGAAAAAATTACGCACTTTGAAAAAATTTTTCAAAGTGCGTTAATTTTTGGGACCATGTTAACGCACTTTGAAAAAAAAAATTTTTTTCAAAGTGCGTTAATATCGACCATATTAACGCACTTTGAAAAAAAAATTCTGCATGGCTTAGTCAATATTCCTACAATCTCAGGTATGATAAATTATCATTTGAACCTGATTTGATACTTTTTGTCCCCCGCTTGAAAAGTGGGGGACATTAATTTGGGTCTATCTGTCCGTCCGTCCGTCTAGCTGTCCGTCCATCCGTCTTTCTGTAACGCTTTCGTTTCCACACGATATCTCGACAACCCTTTGAGCTTTTGCAATGAAATTTAACATAACAGAATCCTTGTGGCCTTAGGAAGACCCCTTTTGAATTTGGGGTCAAAAGGTCAAGATTCAAGGGCGTAAAGAACTACGAAGGATAGTATTATTCTTCCGCCTATCTCTAAGTCAATTCTCAAAAGTTAACATATTGGAATGATTCTCAAAATTTTTATAGATATTCATATGAATTTTCATAAAACTTTACTTATTTGGGATACCAAAGAGAGATAACTCTATAATTTTGGCAAAACTTGTGTTTTTCACTATAGAAATCAACGGAAAACTGAAAATATTTTATTAAAACATCTCCCCCCCCCGTGAAACAAAAATTCCTTATTTACAGGTAATATGGACTGTCATTTTACAAATTTATGCCAAAGCTTTTTGTGTTTCACGGGAGGGGGGGGGCATATGTTTATAGACAAAACACGAAAAAAAAAAATGCTTATTTTTCACCAATTTTAAAGCTATTTAAAACTAAATAATTGTATTTTATTAATTTATATATGCTTTATTTATTTGCGTAAGACATGAGAAAAGATATTAGATACATGTTATCATATTTATGATTATTTCAAAATATGGCGATTCTTGAAAGTTCATCACTATATACCATCATACGTTGCCAGGGGATAAAACTGTTGTATATTTCTAAAATATCTGTCTAATTCCTTTTGTTTCATGAAAATTTTTTCAAAGTGCGTTAAATGTTTACATGGTGTAAAATTATGATGTACAGTCTTAACGCACTTTGAAAAAATTTTTCAAAGTGCGTTGATTTGGTCCCAAATTCAACGCACTTTGAAAAAATTTTTCAAAGTGCGTTAACCTGGTCCCAAAAATTAACGCACTTTGAAAAAATTTTTCAAAGTGCGTAATTTTTCAAAGTGCGTTGTAACAGTGGTGTCGTCTCCATATGATTCTTGAGAGGGACGTGAAACAATGAAAATCAATCACAAAGACTTTTTTTTTAAATTCTCTTTTTATGAATGAGAAAGTTTCAAAATTATTTGAAAGGATATGGGGTGTCACTGTCACTGAGCATCAGATTTTTTCCCCTGTTGTCTATAAATTCACTGAATTTTGATTTAGGTCAGAGAAAAAGCTCTTATAATTCATTTTTTTTTTTTTTTTTTTTTGCAATTTAGGTCTTTTTAATGCATTTTTTTTTTGTTAAATTGAATTAAACTAAGATCCTCCATTTCTAAACAATTTGCCATTCACATCCATTACCCTTTAATGTCATTTCCAAACTTTCCTATTTAATTAAAATTATTGAAAACGAGGTACACAAGCTGAAAACTAGTTATGGATAATAGAGTATATTTGATGTCAAACCCACAAGTAACAAAAGAAATGTTCCTCATATGCTGGGTCATCTAAAACGGAAGTTCCTTTGTCTCTGAAAGAGAACCACCTAGCTATTCAAGACTGCCTATATGGCAAACATTCTTCAGGTCAAGTGAAATTGCGTAGATATCTTTAAACCTTGGACTCTTTGCTGAGTAACAAAATGGTGTCTGATAGCATGTTGAATATCTCTCTCAGGTCTTTCAATGCATCAGTGAAAATTTCCAGGGAAAACAAAGGAAGTAAAAATTACCAGGGAAAACCAACGAAAAAGTAAATGTACAACAATAAAATGTAAGGGGACGACCATTTGATCCTGAGGGGGGGGGGGGGGGGGGCTGGCAATTTTTTTTTAGACGGATTATTTATTTTCATGCCTGTCGAGGACAGGTTATTTATTTTCAAGATTATCGAGGACAGATTATTTATTTTCTTGTATGTCTTACCGTACCTTGATCAATTGATTCTAAAAGACTAATCATTTATATACCATATTCAGATACAGGATTTGGGGAGGGGACAGGTATAACTTTGTTTAGGCAAGAGGTCTGGGGCCGCCTTATGTCCCCCGTAGTTCCTGGGCGATGCCCTGGAGGAGGCCGAGGGAGTACACTCCCCCCCCCCCCAAGCTCTTGGGGTTTCGTGTATTTTAAGAGTAAAACCAGGCACTATTATAGTGGTTTTGGTTATTATGAACCAAAGTATGACATCATTAATACCGCGGTCATACCATACTTTGAATGAAGTAAGTGCAGGGAGCAAAGCCACCTGAATCTCTTGGGTTTTTCTATATGTTACATGTATAAGAGTATAACTTTTGTAGGAATTGGTTAGATGTGTACCAAAGTATGACATTATTAAGTCATATCATACTTTGAATGAAAGGGTCCTGGGGTCGAAGCCCCCTGAAGCTCTTGGGTTTTTGTGTATTTTAAAGAGTAAAACTAGGCAAAAATATATTGGTATTGTCCCAAAGTATGGCATTATTATTAATATTCATATCGTCGCTGTAATATCAAATTGTCGTAAGTCAAAAATCCCAACTTTTCAGGAGAGACAAAAAACATCTTTTTTCAAAATGTCGTATGTCTAGTTTTTTTCTTTCTGTCCTGGATGTTTTTTCTGTACAAATTGTCGTATCTGCGGTAAAGCATTAAAACAAAACCCTGCTACGTATTGTAAGCGTACGGATCTGATATTAGAACGCTCTGAAATGTATTATATGAACATACTCATAAATTGATTGCAGTTACAAACCGCGAAAACAGAATTCAGTTTGTCATAAAGTAAGCTTTAATACATCTAACTTTTTATCAATCTTTCCGTTGATTTCTCTGTGTATTAAACAAATATACTTTGTTTTGTATGTTGAACACATTTTTTAATAAAAATTATAAAAGATTTAACTAAAATTATCATTTTTACCTTGATATCAGACGGCCAGTGACATCCTTGTCAGTGCCCAGAGACATACGACCTTTTGTCAGAAAAAAAAATGCATCCAATGGACATACGAGCTTTTATCACACGTCTGTATCTCACTTTCTAATTGGCCTAGAGACATGACGTTTTGCCAGAACATGTATTCGATATTGCAGATTCCAAATTAGCAATAAAAATTTCGCGCCAAAAATCGACTTACGACATTTTGATATTACAGCGACGATATCATACTTTGAAATTTTAAGGGAGGACCCGGGGTCGTACACATGTACGTCCCCCTTAAATCCGCCAGAGTAAATTTTGTATTTTATCAGGAAAGTATAATTAGTTGACAAGAAAATTTCTTTTGTGGTGTATAAGAATTGGTTTGTATTTAAAGCTATTCATCACACCTACTAAGTGCACATTGTCATGTTGATAAACTGACTTAAGTATCCAGTCTGGTAATCTGACTTAAAATACTATTTGGTTCTTAAATGGCGAGCGAAGCGAGCCAAAAAATTTTTTGAATTGAAGATTTTTGAGATTAAATAACACGTAAATAAAAAAGGTATTTTTATAATATTTAATTATCAGAAGTCAAGGTCAGATTATTTATTTTCTCTGTAGTGGAGGACAGATTATTTATTTTCAATATTTTCAGGGACAGATTATTTATTTCTAAAATCTGCCAGGCCCCCCTCAGAATCAAATGGTCGTCCCCTAACATGCTCCACCGAAAATCACTTCTCAAAACCTTGAAGATACTTTTTCCTTGTAGAAATCTTTATGGCTGATAATGCATTTGAATAACACATAGAAAGATTTCATGTTTTATTTCATTATCAAAAATGTCTAATTGATAAAAATACACATTTAAGTTATTCAAAAGTCCCCGCCCACTGATGTCAAACACAAACTAAAGAAAGCTGCATGAGGATGACATGCATATCAGTCTCCTGACATTTCACTATACAAAATTTACATTCAGGTTAAATTATAAAAAAAAAATCAACTCTCACAACCTTCAAAAAAGTTATCACAGAGAAACTAAAATAGAAAAGTCATTATTAACTTACATTTAAGAAAGTAATTATTAACTTATATTTCTTACTTTTACAATTAAACATTGTGATGTCATATATGAAATTGCTTCTCTCGAGCTCAGTGGCACAAGTTTATCAATGTCATACTATTATCTCAGACTCGACTGAACCACGACACTTGACTACAGAGCATAGAGGCGCCATGATGAAATAAGATCGTTTCCATTATCTGGTTGTTATATAGGCGATTTTCGATTTCCTATAAACATGTTGACAAACGATTGGCTTCAGACACAAGATACAACGAGTGACATTCAAACCTCCCGAGGTTCCCGATGTTAAATTCTCAAACAAAAACGTCGTAGAAGATGTACAAAATAGAAACCAAAATTAAGGAGCCAGTCGGTATTGTTTTTCCATTATCTTGTGATGACATGGAAACAGCTGGAAAAAAAACGAAATATAGACTTATACTAGGAGATCAATTTTTATTTCAGGGAAAACCCATACATGTATGTATTTTATTAAGGAATCACAAGAGCAAGTTTCATAACCAATTCTCATTCAAATCCTTTAAAAATGATTACGATTTCAAATATTTTAAGTTTTGATATTTATCGACATCCTCATTATTCTTACTATTGAAAAAGATATCATACATGGTAATTTGTTGTTCTTGGTCATCATTTTACTTCCTTTTATTGTTGTTTGCTGACGTGGATCGATTTCTATAGTCTGCTCGTCAAATTTACACGTGATGTTTATTCCCTCATTGTATGGCATCGTATGCCTTACTCCATTGACCAGAGCTGCAAGAGAGAACAATTTTGATACATAAAGTGAAGAAATATGTATATTCAGTGGCTGATTCAAGGAATCTTGAAATGGGGTCGGGGTAACGGTCCAGAACCACACCAAAAAAAAAAAAGATTTATTAAATCTTGTGTATATTTGGGATACAAAAGGGGTTCCCTCTGGCCCCATCTTAATCTGCCACTGATATTTATCTGATAACTATTAGATTAAAAAGCTTGGCCGTGCAGTTTTACAAATGATGCCGTTCTTATCAATTGGACTCAACCCAAAGCGTTCTGACATTTGCACTTATAAAATACAAGTGTTTTTGTAATTCAGATAACAATACACTGTATGTCCCCCTAAGAAATCATGATTAACCTGAAACATGTCAATATAATTATTTATAGTACATTAAATTTAGAGGACACTTTAATATTGATTATATTACCGCTTAAAATAACATGACATTGTTACTGTGTATATCGATTTCAATGAAAATATTAGACACTTCCTCTGTACGTCATACAAATAGTCAAATACTAGTATATCATAACATTTTCCGATTGTTTAAAGAAAATTTAAGATTAGAAAAAAGGACCGCAAGGAGAAAACAGACTGCTTTGAGCTATGCGCAGGGGACAACATTTGAAGAATATTCATGTTTACCTTCCGAATCACCGAAGCAATGGTTCGTTTGATTTTCTTTGTTCCATCTGCAGTGTGCCAAATCCTCTTTTCCCACGATACGTATACCTTTATGTGAAAACCTGAAGGACGCATGCTCACAGGAAATCGTTACATGCGTGTTGTTACCGTACGCCGTTGTTCGAAACCCAGAAACTTAAAGAGGAAATACATAACTTTTAGTGTATTATTGCAATTCAATTACAGCAGTAAACAAGAATTGTTATTTTTAAGCAGTTTAATTCCCCCTCTTTGAAATTCAACCTTAATATTGAATTTTCGAGATTCTACTATTACAAATGAATGAATCCAGGCGGGAATACTAGAAGAATTAGTATTTTTTTCTTGCATTCCTTGCCCACATAACATAATAAATTTTAAAAAATCTCTTCAAAAATTTGACTAAAAAGAAGATTAAATTCAAAAGGAAGGTTGAAATGTATACAGACTTACGACAAGGCTTCAAGAGAATCCTTTCACGTAAACTTCTTTTTTGACACGTAGTGTTGATCCATAGCGTATGACCGGCATGGGAACTGTGATTAAATGGTGTACGTATTGTCAAAATTCTACTGTCCTTGTCGTGATTATAATGCACAGAATCCGCAGTATGGCAAAACGACTTATTATTATTGATGAAAATGCAGTTTATTAAAACATCTGTAACGATGTTGATTGTGAGGTTTTTCATGTCACACCTCATTGAAATCTCAATTTCAAATTCTTCTTTGTGACAAATTCCTTCGGATAGGTCATCTAAATTGATGATCGTTCCACAAATTCCTTGATGAATGTGAGAAAAAAAACCCAGTGTAATTAAACAGAACATAGAATTGAATTAAAAAGTTAACCATATTAATTCTTAAAGACTTAATCTTATTAACCTTTCTGGATATCCAATACGAACAAAAAAATAAATAAATAAAATTAGACAAAAATGTATTGTCTTTATAAAAGGATAATGAACACATTCAAGTATCTTTACAAAATAAAGGAACTCTAAAAATTTATAGCTGAAAGTTGAACAGATTAACAGCTTCATATTAAGCCAATACACGTAATTTAAAGAAAACCAGCATATTTTAATAAGAGTAAGACATGTTTTTCTTACTACAAAGAGTGGGACGTGAAGCCCAGTCCTTCGGACGAGACCGTATAAACCAAGGTCCCGTGTCGCAGTCCGTGCTAATATGTAAAGATCCCTCTTTGCTCAATGACACTGAGTGCCTAGTATAGGAATTTGCAACTCTCCACCTGCGAAGTGGTGAGCGTCTCCATATGAGTGAAAATTTCTCGAGAGGGACGTTAAACATTCAGTTTTCTTGACCAATACAGATGCTAACTGCGGATATGACCGGATGCTTTTTCCTGCGAGGCTCCTATATATTTCCACCTCTGGAATGTGTGGGGATCCTCTTTATCTTGTTCAGTCATTTGTATACATCATTTGCTGATCGAACTCTTTACATTTTTCTTATAGTTATAAATATCTATCGAAGTTAAATGTATTGTAACTCCGAAGGTAGCACTGAATATCTAGAATATTAAAGATTAAGGTGGGTTAAAATGATCTTTCGTTGGAAAATGTATTTTTCCTTATTTAAAAGCAACCTTAATTATCCATTTTGTCTCTAAACAGGATATTAAATTGATAGAATAAATTCTTCTTTTTTTTTTAAAAAAAGGCCCACGGGCCTTATAGGTCACCTGAGTATCGTAGCAATTATCCAGCAATTGAATTTGGTTTGTTTAATCCAGAAGCCATGAAATATACAATCTTTAAAGAGGCAACATTGCTTATCATAATTATACACTTAGCATGCTTACTTTGGTTACTTAGTACCCAGAGGTAGATCAGATTAACAAAGAGAAAATGCATTTTTACTTTATAACCAGCAGGTGTGCACCCCATACCACAGGAACCACTGAACCTGCGGCAGCATATTTCGTAAATTTTGAAAGGAGATGGGTGAACATGACGAGAGATAAGCCCATAGAGCAACAATCATGAAGATGAAAAATTAAATCTCAGTTATATCAAAATTTCCCTTAATATTTCATCTAACATAAAAGTATACTTTATGTAAAATCTCTACAACTTGCACAAATCTCATGAAAATTGAAGTTATCTGCCCATGAAATATTACACACACACGAAAGAGGACAAAACGAGATTTTTTTCACACTATAACACTATTTATAGATATGAGTGGGTCTTTTCTCTCATTTTTTTGAAAGTTAATCCTTAAAGTTTGCATACAATCATACATATTTTGGTTTCCAAAATTATGAAGCAAGGACCCACTATACCTTAAAAATATAATTTTATGACATTAATTCGTATCTTTTTAAAAAAACTGAAGTTCCTTACGTCAATGGTCATATCACAAACATGCTTTAAATGCCACAATTCGTCAGAACTTGTGTAGCGTAGTGGTGAGCGTGCTGGTCTAAATAGAGAATGCAACTCAGGATTTTTATTGCTAGGGTTTGAACCCAATGGATTCCTCATTTTTTTTTAAATAAAAAATAAATTTTGACGAAAAATTTTCCTCAAAACTTTTTTGTTTTTCATGATTTCATAAAAATCAATGATGAGAACTTGATTCTAAATACTAAATTCACGATTTAAATATGATTTTTATATAACTGAAGGTAGTGGCCTTTTTGCACGCTACGTTCACCCATCTCCTTTTATCATACATGGTCGATTAATACCAACGAGCAGATTTCAAAGATTTAATTTGTTTTCAGACAAAACACCCAACTCACGGTAACCCTAACCCAGGGGCCTTGAAATTAACCATTTTGAAAAAGGCACCTTCCTTTATCATAAATAGGTAATTCGATTATCGGCATATTAACCAGGAGCAAAGGAAAAGATTTTCAAAGTATTCATGTATTTTCACTATACAATCTTTGGAACCCCGCCTTGAAATTCACAAATTGGAAGAGGCAGCCTTATTTAACATAACTAGTATGTACTTGGTTAGTTTATTTCATGCCCAGAAGCAGAGAAGATTTTTAAGAACTAATGTATTTTCAACATATAATCAACAGAAGCCCGCCCTATCACCAGAACCCCTGACCCAGGTGCTATGAAATTCACAATTTTGGAAGAAACACTTGCTCATCAAAAATTTACACTTGGTTAGTTTATTTAATATCCAGGAGCAGAGAAGAAGATTTTCAAAGAATTTATGCAATTTCACTATTTAATCAATAGAGCCCCGCCCTAGAACTCTTGGCCAAGGGGCCATGAATTTCAAAATTTTGGTAAAGGCAGCCTTATTCAACATAACAATGTACTTGCTTAGTTTATTTTATGCCCAAGAGCAGAAAAGAAGATTTGTGCAAAAATTATGCAATTTCAAAATATACTTTATTTAGCCGCGCCGTAACACCAGAACCCCTGACCCAGGAGCCATACATTTCACAGTTTTGGAAACAGCACTCTTTTTCTTCCTAACTTTGTAGTTTGTTTAATATCAAGAAGAAGACTTTGAAAGAATTTATGCCATTTCACTATATAACCAATAGAGCCTCGCTCTAACATGAGAACCCCTTACCCTTGGGCCATAAGATTCACTATTTTGAAAGGGACATTCTTGCTCAAAATAACTTTGTACTTGGCTCATAAAATACCCAGGAACAGAGAAGAAAATTTTCAAAGAATTTATGCCATTTCACTAGATAATCAAGAGAGGCCCGTCCTAGCACTAGAACCCCTGACCCAGGGCCCATGAATTTCACAGTTTTGGTAGAGGCAGCCTTATTCAACATAACTTTGCGCAGGCGCAGAGAAGATTTTCAAAGAACTTATACATTTTCATTATATAATCTATTTAGTTCCGCCCTAACACTAGAACCACTGACCCTGGGGCCATGAATTTCACAATATTGGTAGAGGACTCAATGCTGATTACAATCATGCCAACAATTTGACTGCTTGAAGTCCAAAAGTAAAGACGAAGATTTTTAAAGATTGCATTAATTTTAGTGGTTTTGCCCCACATCTCAGAAGGGAGGGGGAACCATGAAATTCACAATTTTTGTTCCCCTTCACCCACCAGATGCTTTGTGTTAAATTTACTAGAGCGGTTGCACAGGAGAATCTGAAATATTCATATGTTAACGCACGTCGACAGACGAAAACAGATAGCAATAGGTAACCTGATTACTCAGGTGACCTAAATATTTATCCGTTAAAATGAAGTACTGACTCCGTTGTAAGATTTAAAATCCTTCCTAAATGAACCCTTAAATCATTTTACAAGCAGAAAAATATCCATTCAGAACGAGATCATGCTGTCAATATCGCATGTTTTTTTGACTCGGTATAATGTTAAGCTGTTTTAAGTAAAAGCATGTCAACTGAAAAAATTTACACAAAAATAAACATATACCTTGAAGTAAAAGGGGTCCTCCCAGAATTAAGCCGGCAATCCTTTTTATCAGTAACATGCCTACTAGCTCACGGTTTTCCTGTAATTGTTTGCATTGTTTTCCTCTGTGACATATGGCAGCAGTCGGTACATTGTATGCGATAACTGTGTCATACGTCTGCAGTAAATGCCTTAATCTGTACGTATTGATTCGAATTCATGTCATTGCATATTATTTCGACTGCAGTGCTGATGGAATGATGGAAAGCATGGATTATATTGTAATCGTTAAAATGGAGATGTAGTGTTATCCTGTTTGGCTGCCATTTTTTTTTAATTCCAGATATATGTTTATTATAAATTTATTTTTTAAGTATGGTACATGTAATCAATGAAACACGAAACACCTATATTTAACTATGGATTTGATTTATGTAAACCTCTGTTTCCAGTCTCTTTTCTGCACAAATTATAATGTTGTATGATCAGTTTAATTTCTCTTTTTTATAAAACATCTATATTTATGAATGTTTAGTTTGACTTTAAATACAAGCATGGATATTTACTACATATAAGTGATAACAGCTTTAAAACGCTGCAACAAGATTGGTGTAGGATCGACGCAAAGCACATCATGGTATCGATTCAAAATACAAGTTGATAAAGACCTCATCTATAGTTTTCAGTGTCAATAAAAGTGTTTGAATATCCCTTCGATATTTTTAGCTCTACTGGTCAGAGACCAGAAGAGCTTATGCGATGATAATGCGTCCGGCGTCCGTCCGTCTGTCCGTATGTCTGTCCGTCTGTCTGTAAACAATTTTTCAAAATGCTACTCCTCCTACAGTTTTGGTCTAATTTCAATATAACTTGGCACACAAGTAGACTACACTAAGATACATAATTCTGTGTATCGGTTTTTGATTTCCATGAACGGTGTTGCCGTGGTTACTAAAAATAGAAATTTCTGTGAAATTCTTTCAAAATGCTACTCCTCCTACAGTTTTAGTCTGATTTCAGTATAACTTGGCACACAAGTAGACTACACTAAGATACATAATTCTGTGTATCGGTTTTTGATTTCGATGAACGGTGTTGCCGTGGTTACTAAAAATAGAAATTTCTGAGAAATTCTTTCAAAATGCTACTCCTCCTACAGTTTTGGTCTGATTTCAGTATAACTTGGCACACAAGTAGAATACACTAAGATACATAATTCTGTGTATCGGTTTTTGATTTCGATGAACGGTGTTGCCGTGGTTACTAAAAATAGAAATTTCTGTGAAATTCTTTCAAAATGCTACTCCTCCTACAGTTTTGGTCTGATTTCACTATAACTTGGCACACAAGTAGAATACACTAAGATACATAATTCTGTGTATCGGTTTTTGATTTCGATGAACGGTGTTGCCGTGGTTACTAAAAATAGAAATTTCCGTGAAATTCTTTCAAAATGCTACTCCTCCTACAGTTTTGGTCTGATTTCAATGTTACTTGGCACACAAATAGAATACACTAAGATACATAATTCTGTGTATCGGTTTTTGATTTCGATGAACGGTGTTGCCGTGGTTACTAAAAATAGAAATTTCTGTGAAATTCTTTCAAAATGCTACTCCTCCTACAGTTTTGGTCTGATTTCAGTATAACTTGGCACACAAGTAGAATACACTAAGATACATAATTCCATGTATCGGTTTTTGATTTCGATGAACGGTGTTGCCGTGGTTACTAAAAATAGAAATTTCTGTGAAATTCTTTCAAAATGCTACTCCTCCTACAGTTTTGGTCTGATTTCAGTATAATTTGACACACAAGTAGAATACACTAAGATACATAAATCAATGTATCGGTTTTTGATTTCGATGAACGGTGTTGCCGTGGTTACTAAAAACAGAAATATCTGTAAAATTGTTTCAAAATGCTACTCCTCCTACAGTTTTGGTCTGATTTCAATACAACTTGGCACACAAGTAGAATACACTAAGATACATAATTCTGTGTATCAAATTTTAATTTTGATGAACTGTGTTGCCGTGGTTACTAAAAATTGAAATGTCTGTAAAATTGTTTCAAAATGCTACTCCTCCTACAGTTTTGGTCTGATTTCAATATAACTTGGCACACAAGTAGACTACACTAAGAACATAAAGAGACTTTATCAACGATCATTATTCTATTGATGTAAAGTTTCAAATCCCAGCTGCTTAAGTACTCTTCTCTTCCTTTGCTATAAGTTCAAACCAGTAGAGCTTCAGTCTCGACAGAGACTTCTTTTTAACTCGTTTCGAAAATCCGGACAACAAATTTTGACCCATACTCAGTTTTTGAGTCCTTTATTTCAGAATTATATCTAGTGCATGTAAGTAGGGACTTGCAACCGACTCAATATTTTGTCTCGAAAATGTTCATTGATCAGCTAGCATGATCAGGCCGATCTTCGAAATTTACAAAATATAATCGCTTTGATCAAGCTATTATATCGAAATTATTTGGTAGAGGGATAAAGTGAATGTTCTTACATGTACATCACGTTGTATTATTGTCTGAATTATTGTTTTTGGAATAAGTACTAACTTTTTTAAAGATAAATGGTACAAATACATTGACCAATCAAAAAAGGGTCAATTCCTTAAGAATTTCAAGTCGTATGTAAACTTCCGCCACCCCCCCTCCCGGTGATTTCTCGGATTATTGAAGCAGTAGATCGAGTTTGTTAATATTTGCAAGTGTGATGCGCCCTTCTGGCTGCAGTGTCCGTAAGTTTTGACCTCGAACGACTGGCCACAGAAAGAATATGGTTGCAGCCACAGAAAGAATATGGTTGCAGGGAATTTATTTCACGGAGTTTCAGACGAAAATACAAGTGGATGTGGCAGACCTAGAAAAACGCAAGATGGCGCCGATGGTGATCTCGGTTTATTATATGGTAAGGGTATATTTTTTTTATTAAAAGAAAAATAAGTAACGTCAGGTGCCTGTGTTATATTGGTATTTAGAGATGTAATTTAACTCTTGAAAATGAATAGAAACGGTTAACAACAAGAGGCCCAAGGGCCTTGAATCGCTCTTCTGATAAATTGTACAATCTATCACTTCTATTAGAAGCCTCCAACTCTATTAGTATCATAAGACTCAAAATGCATCAACTTACAATGTTTGATAATATTTAGCCGGTTAAGACTGAAGATATAGTATAATTATAAAATACCATAAGTAGGTCACAGTGACCTACCTTTTGATTGAAATTTTCTGAGGACTCAAGATACATTAATTGACAAAGACTGATGATGACAATACATTGATATTGTTTACAATAGAATTTCAAATATTCGTCACATTCTATGTGCCGCCTATTAATACAACCCTGCCTGGTGCCTCTTAACAGACGATTTGTCAGTCTCGAGTCTGGGTCCATGTCTAAATCTTCCTAAACTCGATTAAACATATTATCAAGTTCGCTAGTACCCTGGATGCTGTCGTCAGATTCTGTTGTTCCTTCAGTGTTATCGATCAACCTTCTGTTTTACAATTTTTCATAGTTTAGGGGGTTACTAAATCCCAAGCAATTTTCACGTATCGAATATCAAAAAGGTCGGATGATTCCCTTTGATCGATGCACTTGATCAGATGAGATAATTGTTTTCTGATAATGTTTTTATTCATAGCTAAAGCATATAGTTTCAAGTAAATGTGCTTCTTTTCTTTCCTTTTGAATAAATACAATTTATCAGAGCCACAATCTCAATTTAGCTATTACCCGGTATATTGCGGAGACGCCCATGTCACGCAATGGTTGAAGCGTTTGGTCTGAATTTGAAGGCGCACTGAGGTTTGTTTCTTTATTTTTTAACGGCCCTCACAAGAATGCTTCGATCCTGAAGACGCCACCACTTTCCAAATCTTGACCATTATTTGGCACATAGGGTCATTTAGCAGTGCGAAATCCTTTTCGTGCCATCGCATACTGCGACACAGGACCACGGGACGGTCTCGTATAAAAGACTTGCGGTAGGATTCGAACCCCTATGGATCAACTTATACCAAGACTTTCCACCACTGCGCCATGCACGTGGGCAAATAAGATAGGATAAACATTAAAAGAGAAGTAGCGTTTTGAAAATTGAAAGAAGTTGCATTTTGAATATCGTAAGAAACTCACTTTTTTATCCTGCATACAGGTCTGTTAATACCTGTATGAAGTAGTCCTCAATGCATTTCTTGTGATTAATATTCATGTATTTAATAAATGAGAACAAATTTCTATGTTTATTTTTATGAATTCTACATCAATAAATGATTACATCCAACAACAGAAAATGCATGAAAACAATGTTACAATTGTAAATCATAATGTGTACATAATATATACAATTGGGTATGAATGCAAATGTGAAAATTAAAAAAATAAACAACAGAATTAATTATAAGTGTGTCTGTAGGTAAGAAAACCTGTATTTAATTGTGACATACCTGCGGCGTGATGTATTAATCGTATAGACCATAATGTACAGATCTCATAATGCACAAATGTGCAATGTACGGCGTAAGATTTTTTGCGGAATGTTTAGAATTTTTTTCACTTTCCACTTTGCTAAACCATCTACCCTTCCCTCCCTTAATCTAGACACATTTTTTTAGCTCTACTGGTCAGAGACCAGAAGAGCTTATGCGATAGTAATGCGTCCGGCGTCCGTCCGTCTGTCTGTCTGTCTGTCTGTCCGTCTGTCTGTAAACAATTTTTCAAAATGCTACTCCTCCTACAATTTTAGTCTGATTTCAGTATAACTTGGCACACAAGTAGACTACACTAAGATACATAAAATAGTACATCGGTTTTTGATTTCGATGAACGGTGTTGCCATGGTTACTAAAAATAGAATTTTCTTAGAAATTCCTTTAAAACGCTACTCCTTCTACAGTTTTGGTCTGATTTCAATATAACTTGGCACACAAGTAGACTACACCAAGATACATAAAATTGTGCATCAGTTTTTGATTTAGATGAACGATGTTGCCATCGTTACTAAAAATAGAATTTTCTGAGAAATTCCTTTAAAACGCTACTCCTTCTACAGTTTTAGTCTCATTTCAATATCATTGGAACACAAGTAGACTACACTAAGATACATAAATTAGTGCATCGGTTTTTGATTTCGATGAACGATGTTGCCATGGTTACTAAAAATAGAATTTTCTGTGAATTTCCTTTAAAACGCTACTCCTTCTACAGTTTTAGTCTCA